CACGTACCCACCATTCTGTGTAAAGAACCTACCTCTGACATCTCCCCAATACCTTCCTCTAATCACCTTAAAATTATGCCCTCTCGTAATAGTCATTTCCGCACTGGGAAAAAGTCTCTGGCTATCCACTATCTATGCCTCTCATCATCTTGTACACCTCTATCAAGTCACCTCTCATCCTTCTTCGCTCCAATGAAACTCCCTCAACTTTTCATCATAAGACCTGCCCTCCAGTCCAGGCAGCATCCTGGTAAATCTCCTCTGCACCCTCACTAAAGCTTCCACATCCTTCCTATAATGAAGTGACCAGAACCGAACACAATTTTCTAAGTGTGGTCTAACTAGGGCTTCATAGAGCTGCAGCATAACCTTGCAACTCTTAAACTCAATTCCCCTGCCAATGAAAGCCAACACACCATATACCTTCTTAACAATCCTATCAACTTGGGTAGCAACTTCGAGGGATCTATGGACGTGGACCCCAAGATCCCTCTGTTCCTCCACAGAATCCTGCCATTAACCCTGTATTCTACATTCAAATTCGACCTTCCAAAATGAATCACTTCACACTTTTCTGGGTTGAATTCCATCTGCCACTTCTTTGCCCAGCTCTGCATCCTGTCAATGTCCCGTTGCAACCTACAACAGCCCTCCACACTGTCCACAACTCCTCCTACTTTCGTGTCATCAACAAACTTACTAACCCACCCTTCAACTTCCTCATCCAAGTCATTTATAAAGATCACAAAGAGCAAAGGTCCCAGAACAGATCCCTGCAGAATACCACTGGTCACCAAGCTCCAGACTGAATACTTTCCATCTACTACCACTGTCTTCTATTGGACAGCCAAATCTGTATCCAGACAGCCAACTTTCCCTGAATCCCATGCCTACTTACTTTCTGAATGAGCCTACCATGGGGCACCTTATCAAATGCCTTGCCAAAATCCATATACACCACACCCACTGCTCTGCCTTCATCAATGTGTTTTGTCACATCCTCAAAGAATTCAATAAGGCTTGTGAGGCATGACCTGTCCCTCACAAGCCATGCTGACTATTTCTGAACAAACTGTGTTTTTCCAAATAATCATAAATACTATCTCTCAGAATCCTCTCCAATAATTTGCCCACCACAGAAAATAAGACTGACCAGTCTGTAATTCCCAGGATTATCCCTATTCCCTTTCTTGATCAAGGGAATAACATTTGCCACACTTCAATCATCTGGTATTACTCCAGTGGACAGTGAGGATGCCAAAGGCTCAGCAATCTCTTCCCTCGTGTCCTGTAGAAACCTTGGGTATATTCCATTTGATCCAGGGGACTTATCTATCCTCATGTTTTTCAAAATTTCTAGCACATCCTCCTTCCTAACATCAACCTGTTTGAGCATATCAGCCTGTTTCACACTGTCCTCACAAACGTCAAGGTCCCTCTCACTGGTGAATACTGAAGAAAAGTATTCATTGAGGACCTCCCCTACCACCTCCAACTCCGCACACATGTTCCCTCCACTATCCCTGATTAGCCCTACTCTCACGCTGGCCATCCTCTTGTTCCTCACATAAGTATACAGCGTCTTGGGGTTTTCCTTCACCCTGCCTGCCAAGGCTTTTTCATACCCTCTTCTGGCTCTAAGTCCATTCTTCAGTTCCTTCCTGGCTACCTTGTAGCCCTCTAGAACCCTGTCCAATCCTTGCTTCCTCAACCTTAAGTAAGCTTCCTTCTTCCTCTTGATTAGATCTTCCACAGGTCTTGTCATCTAAGGTTCCTTCACCTTACCTTCTCTTCCTTGCCTCAGTGGGACAAACCCTATCCAGTACTTGTAGCAAGTGCTCCCTAAACAACTTCCACATTTCTGTTGTGCATTTCCCTGAGAACATTTGTTCCCAATTTATGCTTCGCAGTTCCTGACTAATAGCATTGTAATTTCCCCCTCCCTGTACTAGGAAAAAGTAATAAGTCAATAACACCCATTTTGTTGTTAACTTGTGCAAGTCGGCGTTCTCATTGTTTCCAGACAGTTCAGTAACAGATCACAATGAATCTTGGAGAAGTGCATAATAGTGCCACGCTGAGCCAATGATTTCAGTGGTGAAAACTCTTTATTTTTCACCATCGAACAATATAATAAACCACAGTCTTCATATTTTCTCACTAATGCCATTATGAAGGAGATATCATGAGAAAACCAGCAATAAAAAAAGGAAAATGACATGTACACATCTCGAACAAGAGATGAATAGATCAGCTCCCACTAACACATTAACATTTAACTTTGGCTCTCTATGGTGTCCAAAAATCTGAAGAGGTTAATACAGACAACAGCATAGATTTTCCATCCAATTTTCTGAATTCCCATTAAGCAATAAATGACATATTAAAGCAGGATGAATACATGATAGATAACAAGGTGTAGAGCTGGATGAACACAGCAGGCCAAGCA